AGAAAGAGAAGAGAAAGCCTCCTGAGCCTTGCCGACTAGCTTGCACTGTACAAGTATGGCCCAAACATCTTCTGGCCAGCGCAGAGCAGCAGCAATGCGCTCAAATGCACCAAAATAGGAAACACAGGGACCAAAGAAATATGCCTACTCACGTCGAAGGAGGCAGCAGGACCAGAGTGTGTAACAGCAGAATCACCCACCACAGCTGCTTGGAGCTCTAGCTAACACATCCGGACAGCAGTGTCTGCCTCCAACTTCCTGATCTCCAGCTCCCTCCTGAGCTGAAAATCCCTATCACGCTCCTCCTTCTCCCACTGGAGACGAGCCATACGCACTTTTACCCTGGCATCTAATTTAGACCCCGTAGGTGAGGATCCTGCCGAAAACGAGCCAAACTGAGGTATGGTGAAAAGTGTTGCCTGTTCCGTAGCACTCTGAACACCAGGAGTAACACCAATGCGGCCTCCACCATGAGATACTGCTGCTACAGCCCCGGCTACCGTGCCAGGAGATTCCACTAAAGTAGGCAGACTCAAAACCCCCTGTTCAACTAGTCCAGTTAGCAAAGTAGCCTTGAGTTCACTTTTAACAAGAGCAGAGGCGACAGAAACGTGATAGTGGTCAGCAACTAACCGCAAATCAACCTTCCTGCACCCGTCTAGCTGACCCACAGTAGGACTGGCCACAAACTGCTCCAAAACAAAAAACCATCCTTAGCAACGGCTACTTACAATTTTTTTTTATTATTATTTTTTTTTTTTACAAACTTCCCCAGATCCTGCCTACCAAACTTACCTAACTATCTTCTGGAGCATGCCGGGCTCGAGGCGACTTTAAAAAGGCAAACATCAGCGGCCGAAACCCTGAAACGCCTGCCCCCAACAGCAGTGGTGGGCCGTCAGGGCCAGCAAGGCCTTCTCTGCTGGCCTAAACATCATCAGAATATAAATTTAATTTTGATATATTTTTTCCACAAATATGTATTAAATTATTCCCCATAGTCTATTCTTTTCATTTCATAGCTTTCCTCTTGGTTGCGCTGCTTCCAGCCTCAGAACAAGATTTGGAGGGCTGGCCTTTATGTTAGAGCTTTTATCCAATCATATTTCAGCCATAATGTGTTGCCAGGGTCCAATAAATCTGCCCTTAGGCCTTCAGAATCAACAGTGCGGGCGCCTGTAGCTTAAAGTGAACGGAAACAAAACTGTGGCGTTAACCAATCAGATTTTGAGTTGGCGACAACGGGCCAGCTAGCAGGCGTACGATGACGTCAGCACGTGCACGTCTTTTGATTGGATACGCACTATTGAGAGGCAGAGCTATGTAGAGCTAGCAAACTGAACTTGAATTTGAACGAGCTAATTTGTGTAGATTTCTACAAGCTGTTTTTTTTTCAACCCACAATGGCTGAAGGAGAAGAGATCGATTTGGTCGCAGATATAATTACAACGCCATTTTCAAGACGAACTTTTCAAGAAAAGCTAGACATTGTGAGAAGAGAACGGCCAACCCCGACGCCAGCGAGCCTATCACAGCGGGGAAAAGGGTTTGTCCGCCACTTTCAAATCACTAACTACGAGCGGTACCCCTGGCTCACAGCCTCCGAGAGGCACTGCAAATTGTACTGCTGGGAATGCCTGCTATTTGCAAATGATCGATTTGGTGTTTGGAGCCACACTGGATTTGCAAACTTGAGTTGTCTAACCAAGGCAGCAACGAGACACCAAAGCACGGCTGGGCACTTACAAGCAATGGTGCTTTTGAAAACCTTTGGGGACACCCGAGTGGATCTACAGCTCAACGAACAAGTGCGACGGGAAACGGAGCTCCACAACGAAAGGGTGAACAAAAATAGGGAAATATTGAAAAGACTGATTGATTGTGTCCTGTTTTTGGGTAAACAGGAACTTTCATTTAGGGGACATGATGAAAGCACCGAGTCCAGAAACAGAGGAAACTACGTGGAGCTTCTTTCTTTGCTTGCTGAGAACAACACAGACTTGCATTACCACCTGTCCACAAACAATAATTCAGGTAGGACTGTGTCGGACATCACTGAAGGCCTAGGTGTCAAATGCACGGCCCGCCACTGCCCAACAGGGAATAAATCCCCACCCAGGATTACCTCAAAAATAAAAAAGGCAAAATAATAAAGGAGTGCCTGAAGAAAGGACTCAGTCAGCCCAGCTAGACACTACCCTATCTAAACTGAGGAAGTTTTTAACCACAATGTTTTTTTCCCCTCAAATTTAAACAGCCAATGCTACCAAACACAATATCAACGCTAAACCGCAAACAGATACTCACTGTTTGTCTCAAGATCCCGGACGAGCCCCCATTTGTCACGTTCCCTCCTAACTAGGGGTACAAAGGGAAGTAACAAAACACCAAAATAACCGGGCGAGAGAAAAAGGAGAGGAAACTGTCTACTGAAGCCACAAAATGATGTTTTAATGGACAAAAGAAAAAGGGCTCACCAGCCAACTTGCAAACTAAAATAAACAATACACGAAAAGGTAAACTGGAGCACATCTAACAATTCAAGAACACAGGCCTCACACAGAGACAGAGATATGATGCAGCCAGAGGAGAAGGAGAGCGCGACTGCAGCCTTCCTCAGGTCCTTTATAGAGGCTCTGATTGAGGATTGGGAGCACCTGGGGAGAGGCTGCACCTGGGGACAATCAGGCTGCACCTGGGGAATCAGAGGGAGAGAGAAAAAGACACACACACCCACACAAACACTACGGCATGTAACAAACACATTAAATAGATAAAGGTGTGCTCTCTCTAGATCTCTGTCTCGCTCGCTCGCTCACAGAGGCTGTGTGCTCCTCCGTGGCGATGACGGCTTGTTAAAAAAACAACAAAGAAACATATTTGTAAAGTGGGGGCGATTGAGGGCTTGCGAGATACCGGTAGCTCGTGATCGATGTGTTGGAGACCCGTGAATGCTAATGGGAGCCACAGGGGGGGCCACAGGGGGGTCAGAAGTCAGTGTTAGGGGGGCACTGGCCCCCCCTAGAACCGCCCCTGCGCGTGAGGCTAGCCCGCTGCTACTGTAAAACAGTGGCTAACTAAAAAGAGCTAATGGCTAATAACAATGTTGATAAAGCTAATTGTCATTTGCTTAAAAAAGGAAATAATAATGGCCTTGAATACTGTAATAATCAAGCATGTAACAATTGTGACACTTCAATTAATTTACTATATGAGCTTAAAGCCAAAAGATATTACTGGCATAGCATAGCATTGTTCTCATAATGTAACCCTTTCACGCATAGAGGCTACAGTGGACAGCTTTTCAAAAGGGGTTTTCTTGTACATGCATGGGTTTTGATGGCATAGTTGCACCATCAGCCATTACATAGGACCCTATTGCATCATCCCATACACTGCTACTCAGTGGAAAGTCAGTGCAAGTGCATGATAAATGTCTCTAAACCAAGATGAACGACAGAAAGCCAGATGGACCAAGTCACCTACCGATATCCTGCCAATCTTTTCATGGAAAGCGCTCCCTGCAGGTATAAAACATTTGGTGACATCAAGTAACAACTAAGGAATCATATAATTCATAAATTGTCAAAGTATTGATTTTATGTTTGCAGGAAATCATGATTATTCGCCTGGACGTCATGCATCACTGGCTATTTCAACTAAAATTCATACTGTTACTGCTACTGTTCTTCTTGAAAATACTTCATCTGCAGTATCTTTTTGGGCCTTAAATATATATACTTAAGTTATTATAATGTAATTTGAAGTTTGCACATCTTTATTTGTCATTTTTTCCAAATGTACAAGTTTTCAGTTTAGACTTTAACGCATACTGTCCTGTTAAAATCTTGTTTTTCATGCCCCAAGAGCAATAAAAACACTTCATAATTCATGCATGGAAGGGTTTTAAATGTTTCTTGAAGTAGAAATAATACTGTGCTTCTGCAAAGATAAAATAGTCATAGATATCGGTATGTCATTTTGAATAAACAAAAACAAAAAGCAACTCTCTAAAGTCTCTTTTTAACTCTTGGGAACATTAAAACATTTTATTGCACTACTTTATCATGTTTTCGACCACAAGGGAGTGCCCTTCTGGCTTGATTTTTGTTGTAATGAGTACACCAGTGAGTGCGCTCTCCCTTGTATGTTTAATATAATATTAATAGATCATCCCCACTCCCCTGCATGTCTGTCCATGTTTGATTGAGCCTTGGATGCTTAATTCAGCTGCAATGTGAAGTCTTGACCACTCAGAGGCAGTGCTGACTTAAATTTAGATCAAATAATCTTCCTGTTTTTCTTAGGGAGGTAGAGGAGTGCAGTAAAGGTAATCCTGGCGCTCTGTTGCTGCTGCATGTTGCATTAAACTTCTTAAATTAGTTGAATTCAGTCAATAAGTAGGCCGCTGCCGAAATGCACTTTTTGTATCATTGACTCATCTGTATGACTTCCTCTGGGGAAACTATGTCTCTCTGAATTTGTAATAAAAACAACAATTACTTTTCACTATAACGATAACACTTTCTGAGCTTGGTTCTTAGGAAATATAACTGGTTTACATATCATCTGAAACTAAAGTGGAAACATTCAGGACTGTAACTCCAACATAATATACATGTATTCAATTGCTGTACTTTACTACACCACAACTTTGAGTACTTCTGAAACTGAAACTACTTTCTACTTCACTATACATTTCAGAGGAATTGGTTGTTTCTTTTATATTTCACAAGATTTAACAGATAGGGCCTTCTCATTGCAGATTTAGATGATCAAAACATAGTATTTAACAAATTAAATGATGCTTGTTTTCTTGTAAATTAGAAATGATCCCCACCTTTAGTAGCTGCAACATTAATCTAATGCATCCAAGCTACCATGTAATAATATGGTATGTTCCTTTATTGCTATGCATTGCTTTTATTTTGAAGAGCATTTCTATATTTTTGCTGATGTATGACTTCAGTCTCATCATCATCGACACTACAACAGTTTTATTTCTACGCACAGGGGGGCGTGTAGATTGTCACTGGTCACATGACCCGGAAAATGTGGGGTTTAATTCCTGTGTTGGACTGCTCCCAGCTGCTAAGCCTCTGCCCTTCGCAGTACAAAGCCTCCATCGCGAACCCCAAGGCGGACTCTCCTCCTCACACCATGTCGGGTAAGATTCTCCGGGGCTCCGCGACACTCACAGCCGCTAACTGACACTGGAACCCGGCCCGTTTTCCGGGACTGGACCGGGGATGCGCATCCTGCCCGGTTCTCCCGAAATATCGCGAATTTTAGAGCAAACGCTGCAGTAAACACCTGCTGCCACGCGCATGCACTGCTGCTGGCACGCGGACATAAACGAGGCGATGAGTTGTATTATTAGTGCTGTAATGTTATATATTGCGGACATTGAAAAGGTATTTCTTTTTTTCCTTTTTTATATGATGAATTGCTGCTGCGGATTGGACCTAAGTAAAGCTGTCGACAATAAAAACGACACTTCCGGTTACAGTTTACTAGTGAAAATACAACTAATGTTGAGTAACCAAAAGCTGTAATGTAATAGTAAAGACTAGTGAAAGAAAATACAATAATTTTCTAAATTATATATTTGTAATTGTTTGTCATCTTTGCTCTATAATTTTGAATATTGCCTAACCACTACTGAAATCACTATTTGAGGGTTTAAATAATCAGATAGATTTTTTATTTAACACATAGCCATATTTCATATAACCTTAAACCTTGGTTATAAAAGATACCTCAGAGGTTGTATAAGTACTCAGATCTTGTACTTGAGTGAAAGTAGAAGTACCAGAGTATAGCCTACTCTGTTACAAGTAAAAGTCCTGCATTCATAATGTTACTCAAGTTAAAGTAGAAAAGTCTTAGCATCAAAATATACTTAAAGTACCAAAAGTAAAAGTAGTCCTTGTGCAGATTGGTCCATTTCAGAATAATATATATGATATGTTTTATAATGATTGATCATTAAAGTGTTCTCAAAGTTGGTAAAGGTGCAGCTAGTTTGAATGACTTTGTATACTGCAGGGTAGCTTGTGGATTTACTCCAGGTGGAACTAAAGTCTGATTTAACACTTTGATACTTTGATATACTTTATTAATCCCCGTGGGGAAATTGTTTCTCTGCATTTGATCCTAGTGTTAGGAGCAGTGTGCTGCCATTTTGAACGGCGCCCGGGGAGCAGTGTAGGGAACGGTGCCTTGCTCAGGGACACCTCGGTAGCACTTGGTCTTGCTGGGACTTGAACTGGTGACCTTCCAGTTGCCAAGCCAAGTCCCTATGGACTTCGCCACCACCACCCCCAACGCCCCCAACGCCCCTCTAACTTGATTAGATTTCACATCATTAATCAAAATCTGTGAAGTAACTAAAGGTATTAAATACATGTAGTGGAGTAAAAGTACACTATTTACCTCTGAATTGTAGTGGAATAGAAGTACAAAGTAGCATAACATGGAAATACTCAAGTAAAGTAGAAGTACCTCAAATTTGAACTTAAACACAGTAGTTGAGTAAAGGTACTTATAGTTACTTTACACCACTTGATACTTGCAGATGTAAAAGCAGGAGAATACATGTGTCAGTACTGTCACTTAAAGTATCTCAATCATATCTTTAATTTCTTTAACATCACCAACATTTATTATAACTAATATGATCATTGAACTAGATCTGATGTTGAGTTAAACTCAGAGAGTGGAAGTGTAGATTTTGAACCCGCCTGTCAGGTTGTGGGAAGGTGGAAATGATGTAGGCCCGCATTGCATCACCAACATTGATGATTTCTCCATTGACATTTTAGCCGATTAGCTAATCAAGACAGAACAGCAGCAGTATGCAGCTTCATATCTTCAGCACACTAGGCTACTATGAGTGAAATAGATTTTAACTGATCGAATCACTCACAAGAAAGCAGATAATCTAATCTCCCTAAATGTTGCACTATTCCTTTAAAGTGACCCCTGCGTTGTTACACAATCAGCTATGAAATAAAAAAACTTAATTTAAGAAAAAAAACCCTGTGTGTTTAAATGATTAGCTGATACATTAAATAGTCTACCATCAAGAAAGTCATCTGCAATCATTTTACTGTCATTTATCATCAGTAAGTCAAACTGGTTGTAGTATAAACACTACATTTGGAATTTACATTCAACATTATTTCAATTAAATGTATTGATGTTACTGCAACTTATGTTAGTAAATGCAATATTTATTATATATTTTGAGTAGTTGGTCGAATCAAACAAGCAATTTAAGGAAGAATGATTTAGCTTTGGGAAAATGCTTACTAATATAAAAATAAAAATACTTTTAACAATTAAACCCATATCTCACTTTTGGTTTTATTTTGTAAAGTATACCCTTTAACTTCCTGGGTTAAAGTGAGGTCCTTAAAGTAACTTGACATGTTGTTTCTCAGTGCGGACGTGCGCCACAGTGCGTGGCCTTGAGGTTTTAGTTTTTTTTACATTACAAATAAAAGGCTCTGGTGTCACACCTATTATTATTATTATTATTATTAAGACATCCCTAAAAAAAGTATAATTAGGAAAATAAACGGTTTGCTCTACTAAAGGATGTATAACAGTAACTATACAGCCAGAAAGAGAGTACTACATTAGCATCATATTAAGATTATATATATAAGTTTATACATACAGGAAACAATGTGAATGTCCTTAAATAAAACTTACCATTCAATCTCTAAGCGCACAGTAATACATTTGACACATAAAATAGAATATACTGGATATAAATGTCCCATATTGTTAGTTAAATACTACATTGTATTTTTTATTGGTGCACTCATGCTAGATAACAATATTTCTAACAATTTAAACAAACAATATCTTACTTAAAAATATCTGTCCTTGTGATTTTAAAAGGCATCAGACCCAGTAGGTCATATGGCTTTCCTGTAGGTAGCCTCAGACGACTCTGTGGGAACTCGACATGTTTCCTGTTTGGCCTGGTACTCTTTTGATAGTTTATAGTTCCTCGAAACAGACCCTAGCAACCGTGCGTCTCAGATTAGGTTTCCCGGAAGCCCCCGACTGCAAACACATTCAGCTTGATGAATACTACACTATCTGCTGGCTCTGGACCAACTCTCAGCAGAAACACAGAGTGCCCCCTGTTGTTCTTAATTTATGCATGGGGGACACATCAGACACTGGACTTCATACAATAGGCCAGACGAAGGAATTCATTAGGACAGAATGAGACAGTGAGTGTCACGGTTCATGTTTGTTCTGGACGAAAAAGCGGAGAAAAGAGCGTTGATTTCACGCAGTTTGCTGTCAAATTAGGAGACAGAGGCACTGATGGTTTGAGCAGAAAGTCTGTGGTGGAAAGTAAACAACATTTAGCTTTCTACTATTCCTGTCTGAGGGAAGTTGACCTACTTTAATACCAAGTTGAAATGCTCAAAGCTCGCTGCAACAGTCCTGTGTGAACAACACAGACATTATCTTTCGAGGTTATAAAAACAGAGACATTTCTAACTTAACTTAACAATAACGTTTGGCTGTATTCCCCTTGACCTCTCTTATGGGAGAAGATGTTATAAATAGTCTGCTGTGGAATTGAGTGGTTTTAATGCTTTTGCAAACCATCCAGGAATGTTTTCCCTTATGAAATTCACGAGTTATGAGGCCGTTGTAAACCCATATTTTCACCCAAAATGCCAAACAACCTTTTACTGATTACTGAGGTTGCTGTTCTGCAATATATGATCACATTCGGCACCTTGATAATCCGAATAAACTGCATTTCCTAGAAGATATCATTTGCATAACTGAACTTTACTTAAAAATAATCCATGAGAGTGGTTAGTAGTTATTCCTTTAAAGTCATTCTGATAAAGGTGTGTGTGTGTGTGTGTCCAAGCAGACCAAGCTTTTGTGACGCTGGCCACAACAGATAACTACGCCAAAGGAGCGATGGTTCTCGGCCAGTCGTTACGAAACCACAACACAACCAAGAAGCTGGTCGCTCTCATAGGGCCGCATGTTGCAGAACCTTGCAGGTAACACACACACACGGCTGAAGTTTGGTGAAAAATTGTCTAATGGCAATATCCGACTGACACAAATCTCACCTTCTGTGGTGTAGAGATGTACTAGGAACCATTTTTGATGAGGTGCGTGTGGTGGACGTCTTGGACTCGGGCGATGCGGCTCATCTGTCCCTGATGAAACGTCCGGACCTGGGAGTCACGTTCACAAAACTGCACTGCTGGACCCTCACACACTACAGCAAGTGTGTGTTCATGGACGCAGACACAATGGTGAGAAAATAAAGCTGACAGAGAGTGTACAGAAGAAGCAACAACAAATTAAATAGTCTTCAATGTGATTCTGACTTTTTTTCAGATCCTAACAAGACAAGAATTAAGGAAACATAAATTACAATCACTAAGGACAATGTTTTCAAGACTCTTTAAGATAGATTTGACGTAGAATTAACTTTTGCATTTAATTTTAATATTGACTAGTGTACAAAAGAGTGCTTCAGTCTTTATTACATCAAGGGACCATTTAATATCCAATTCACGGCACACTGATATATCTGATATCCTTGCAGTCATATAATCTTTCAGCTGCATGACAACTGCCATCAAGTTTAAACACCTGTCCCAGACTTCTGCATTTTCTGTGTAAATATTGATGAATGAAACTCCTCATATTTGCAGGTGCTGTCAAATATAGATGAACTCTTCGAGAGAGAGGAGTTATCAGCAGCGCCGGATCCCGGTTGGCCAGATTGTTTCAACTCCGGGGTGTTTGTCTTCACACCGTCCAATGAGACGCACGAGAAGCTGATCACGTTCTGCAGTGAAAACGGCAGCTTCGACGGTGAGTGTTTCTTTTTCCGTTGCTAAAAGTGCACACGAGAACATAATCTGAAGAGACTAGAGGAATGCATTCAAGTGTAAGCAATGTGAAGGATAACTCTCTAGTGAAAGACTCTTGGACTGCAACAGTATCTCTGAGCAGGGATGACAGGCTGGACAGAGCTTATTTGAAGAGTATATTACTTTATTCCATTGGTGAGGACCTGAGTCTATTTGACATAAATAACTCGTGGCTTCCCTTGGACTTGGCCTTCTGACTTATAAATAGTTGATAGTTTGTTTCGAGCCCGATGTTTAAATCTCTGTCATTTCGATTCTTTCAATCGAGTTGCAGGAGAGAACCTTAAAGCCCAACGAGTTACGTTACTGAGTTAGAAGCATACAAGATCTACATGGTGAACAACAAATTGTAGTAATGAAAAATTGCACTAGATTGGGTGAATAACCTAAACTTGCATAGGACAGAAAACTCCCAGTTTAGGACTTGTCAGCCTTGATTTGGGCCATGAGTGCAAAGACTTGAAACGTACCAAACTCTGATATATTCCAGTTTTTATAAGCCCTAGTTTTATTTTGGCAGTGTAAACATGAACCAGTTAACTGCATGCGTTTCCTCAACCATTTGTAATGAGAAAAGCATTTGTTTCTAAAGAATGCATAAAATGTTCCCGCAACTTCTCTTTCTCTTCCCACACAAACGTATAGTATGTCCTCATTTCAATCTGACCTGGTGTGACCTTGTCCTCTCATTGCCTCCTCCCCTCTGTTTGTCTGCATTCAACTCTGTTACATAGATCAGCCATCTGTAACATAGATCTGCCATCCTCTCAAGGCTTTGTCAGCATTCCTTTTCTATTTGCACAAGTCGGAAAAGACACATTGTTTGGGAATGAGTGTGGCAGGTTGACCATTCAGGAATTCACTATAGTTTGTCTGAATGTGTTTCTGCAACCACAGAAGACAAATCCGATCAAATAAGCTGTCTTTGAACTCAAGCAGAAACATTTTAAATGCATTTGTGTGTGTCTTCATGTCTGCAGGGGGAGATCAGGGGGTCCTCAACAGTTACTTTAACACCTGGGCGACGAAAGATATTTCCAAACACCTTCCCTTCATTTACAACCTCAGCAGTATCTCCATCTACTCCTACCTGCCAGCTTTCAAACAGTCAGTACACACACACACACAGAACATTTCCATACATTCATGTGCAGCCTTGTGTAACTTCAGGGTGCTTTTTGTGTTATGAGGCTTAAAGCTTATCCAAGGTCAGTTCAAAGGTTGTGTGTGTGTGTGTGTGTGTGTGTGTGTGTGTGTGTGTGTGTGTGTGTGTGTGTGTGTGTGTGTGTGTGTGTGTGTGTGTGTGTGTGTGTGTGTGTGTGTGTGTGTGTGTGTGTGTGTGTGTGTGTGTGTGTGTGTGTGTGTGTGTGTGTGTGTGTGTGTGTGTGTGTGTGTGTGTGTGTGTGTGTGTGTGTGTGTGTGTGTGTGTGTGTGTGTGTGTGTGTGTGTGTGTGTGGTGTGTGTGTGTGTGTGTGTGTGTGTGTCCTTTCTGTTAAAATCTGTACTGCATGTTTCTTTCTCTTAGACAAAGTTTGAATAGGTTTGCAGTCACAAAATGAAGTTTCACAAAACTAAGACTCTTTCATCCCTGCCGTCTAAAATAAACAATGCCTGTTATGTTTTCACAGGTACGGCCATGACGCCAAGGTGGTACACTTTCTGGGAAAGGTGAAGCCCTGGAGCTACTCCTATGACAACCAGAGGGGCGAGGTCAGAGGTCACTCCCTGCCTCCTGACCAGTGCCAACTGCACCCAGACTACCTGCTCCTGTGGTGGCAGCTGTACGCCAAATCAGTGCAGCCGTTACTGCAGCATGCCTACGGAGACTCTGCGTTCACGAGCGGCTTCGTGGAGGGCAGCGAGGAGATACGTGATGTTCAAGTGTGTGAGAAAGCCAGAGATGGCAAAAGCACACACATCCTTTACTTTAAGTAGCAGTACAGATACTCGTGTTTGAAAATACTCTGGTAAAAGTAGAAGTACTGACTAAACTTCTTTACTCAAGTAAAAGTAGCGAAGTATGGGCTTCAGTAAAAAGTACCCATAACTAGCAGCTGTTTTAAAGAGTACCTGACCTCCCTTTATATTAATAGAACAATAATGTCATTGTTAGCTAATGAATGTTTCCATGCTGAACAACGGCAACATGACAACGTTTCCATTGGTCCCTCTTCTTTAGAGAAGACCAGGAAATGATGGATACACGGATCGTGTTCAAATCAATAGGCACGCAATGACTCTAAAGAATAATGATCACGCACCAAACACACATTCAAACTAAAGGAACCAGCCTTTAGAAGTAGAAAGTACAGATATTTGTGTTCAAAATGTAAGAAGTAAAAAGTCGTTAGAAAAATAAGTAGTGGAGTAAAGTACTGATACCAGAAAAATATACTTAAGTACAGTAACGAAGTATTTGTACTCCAGAGAGAGCGATCGGTCGTAGGCTGTGGGGGCTGAATGTTTCCAAACCTAGGAGCATTCTGGCTGTGATTGCGTGTTTCGCCTGTTGCATAATTATGACTGTGGTGAAACCTGTTATTACTAAGTGAAGTCTGCTTTCTCTGGCGCATCTTCAAAATGTGCAAATCTATCATTCAATGTTCCAATCACCAAGGGCCACATGATGACGCCTCTTTAACTGGAGCTTAAAATGAAAACACTGGCTACTTGTGGTTGCGACAAAAGCAAGAAAAAGTGGATTTGTTCCACATTCCTCAGCACCGATCTGTTGCCAAAAGTCCCGTTTGTTGCTACTGGTGTTTAAAGGCCTCTCGGTTGAGGCGTGAATGAATAAATAGCTCGCTGTTGTCGATGAAACATGCAGGATGCTCGGTCTCTAGCAAATATTCACGACTTCACTGAGGAGCAGGAAGTTACCAGGCGGTCTGTCGTAACAAGGGCGGCAGTAAAAAAGTTTCCTGAAACTGACTGTTTGAATCTTGTGTCACACCGACAAGTTTATACCAGCCCATCGTGGGAAAGTCCTTGAGTCTAACAGTGGCTTTGGCTGTGTGTTTTAGTGTTTAAATAAAGGTCTTTACACTTGATTTAAGCCAGGCCAAGAGTGGTAAATACGGAATAACGGCGCAATAAGTCAGTTTACCAAAAAAAGGCATCAATATTAAGCAACGTGACTGAAGCTGAGGGAAAATCTGTGTCATTACTCATATTACAGATTCATGTCATTGTGAAGTTTACTAACATTAGCCACCATGTTACCGGTCATAATAGACCAGTTGGGGCTGAAGCAGCAAGTGTATAAGGGAGGTTTTGTTGTTTCTATCAACATGTGCACATAGTCAAGATTTTAAGTCCACCTCTATTTAAAAATGGGTTTTAGAGAGTACTCATTTATCTGCTAAGGTGGCAAAAGTTTCTGTGTGTTCAGAGTTGAGGAAGTGTACTGTTTACCAATATGTTACTTGCAGGAGTTAAAGTGTCTCCAGTGCACATACACTTTTGAAACTAATTGGATTTCTAGGTGGAGGAGTAAGTCAGTAATATCCAGGATTTGTTTAAATAGTTGAACTTTGTTGTGGACTCTTTTCTCCCTATGTAATGTCCATTATATATTGGTATTGATCTACTGAAAGCCAGATGTTATGTACGCTTTTATCATCTGAGAAATTCCACTCTTATCTTAGAGTGTTGTCAAAGGTCTTGTTTGTACTTCGAGCGCCCTGACGAAACGCCTCCATGAACTGATTATGGTTAGAAAACAGCGGTCAGTTGAGCTGACTTCACTAAGTGTTGGGAAACCTGTCCTTATAGAGTATTGCTGCAGTCCTGTTGAATTAAATCATTCATTCTCTGTCCGTCACGCAGGGAGAGCTTCACCAGGATGTGAGAGAGCACCCGGCACCTCCACCCCCCCCAAAGCTTTCATCAAATGAGAGGAAGCAGCGTTGGGAAGCGGGCCAGATCGACTACATGGGTGACGACTCCTTCGCCAACATCGAACGAAAGCTTGACTCCTTCCTGAAGTAGGGCACCGGGGATGGAGCACGACGGACAGAGAGAGTGTGGGTGAAGATGTAAGCACTGCTCGGCCAATCACAGGGGCTCGAAGGGCAGGTGATGAATGTCTGTGTGCAACATCCAGCCTCACTCTCTGCATCCTGTCAGTGTGTGTGAAATGTGAAGATTCCCATGCACTTCCACCATTCATTCTTCCCTCAAAAATAAGTCTGATATTTCAGGAAACTTGCTCAGCCGCTTTCTCGCAGAGAGCTAGATGAGAAGATTGATACCACTTGCATGTTTAGATGCTAATTATTAAAGGTCACCTATTGTGCAACATCCACTTCTTCATGTCTTTTCTACATCAACATGTGTCCCCTCTGTGTAAAGAGATTCTGGAAGTTTCAGGAACAAAGATTCTCTCTCTTTTTGTCCTGACCCAGTTATATAAAAACCTGTCTGAAAATGAGCTGATCAGATTTTGGCCACTTTATGATGTCATAACGATGTTTTGGCTTGGTAACCATTAGCCAATCAGCAACCAAGGTGATTGGCTAATGGTGCAATGATCTGTTTGGTGTTTGGAGCCAAACACTTCAGAGACATGTTTTGTATCTGAGACCTGTCATATATTGAAAAACAGTATACAAGGGGACCTTTAAGCTAATGCTAGGAACCGGCTTCATCTGTGGGCTCAGCACTGTGTGAGTGACTTCATTAACTATATCACTCTGTATTCAAACCTTAACGGAGAAAGAAACTGAATTGTTTCTTAAGAATCCCACAGATATATTTGTCTACACGGCAACAAGAAGACTTTTATTGCACATTTTGCACATACTTCAACTTCTTATGTTTCTCTAAATGTGTGTAAATGTGTTTTATTCTAAAATTGCACAACTGTTGCAAAACAAAATGTCTCCCCGGGATGAATACATGAACCTAAAAAACGTTATCAATCACTACCACGTTGCATTATGTTGGATTGATCCGGCATAACAGTTATTATTCGGTTTATCAAACTATATATATATATATATCAGGCTGAAATCAAAGCAGAAAACATCCGTGTTCCCATCGTGGTATATTCTTCTCATCCAATTTATGCAAAGCGAATAATCGTAAGCGTGAATCTGGTAATGGATTCACAGTCTGTCTTCCTAACCTGTGGGAACGTTAGCAATAGCAGAAACAAAGAAAAAAAAATTGCAGACAGAGCCTACTGTTGAAGGGAATGTTGATGATTTTGAACTCCTTTCTTGCAATAAGTCTCTTTATCTAACCCACTTTGAAGCAGATATGCAGCAACTGGCTCCCCCTTTCCCCCAAATCATGTCAATCTCGCTTCAATCCGACAGAGTTCACCTCACCAGAGTACATCTTATTCTGAGCCTCTGACACTCACCAGCTCCCTGTGTCGTCAGCTTTGTATCGTCTGGTTGTGTATTTAAAAAAAGTCCAGTTGTGTTGCATGGCAGCTCAGTAATGAAGTACTTCCACACACATCCTTCAGGGATAGTTTCGTATTTATTTGTGTGGGATTTAACAATAGTGCGCTCCCCAGACATCTGTGTTATATCCTCGGCAGACCCCTCGTCGGTATCTCATGGCCCATTGTAACCACTTCCTGCCTGTAGTGTTGCCAGCTGCCTTCTGCCACTGTTTACAAAACCTAATTTACTATAACTGCTGCTAGTAGCACAACACATGTGCAGAGTCCCTCATTTCCTGTTACTGAAACCTCCTTACTTCACTCCAGCTGTGTGCCCTCGAAGAAACCAATCCCAGAAGCTCCGCACATTAATAACATTAAACTCCTACAGGAAGCTGGCAAGGTTGAGATAAAAATCAAAATGTGATTTTTTTCCAAGCTTGTCAACCTGGTAAATCCCCAATATGCATGAGTGTGGACGCGGAACACATCGTAGTAAAAGCAGATCTGTCCTGTTCCCCATCCAGTAACTGTACATCCCTGTTCAAGCGCTAATAAAGAACTGATGGAGAATCACATTTTATCCATAACTCCTGTCACAAGTGTCTTTTTTCATAACCTATAGAATATTGAATACATTTAGAGAACTGCAGGAATGACTGAAACCAGGATTTCTGCCCTTTAGGTTCCTTCCTCTCGAAGTCAGTGGATTTTTGGTTTGATACATAAAGTTATAGTCAATGGCTAACAAGCTTAGTGTTCAGACCGGTTCAGACATGAAATACGTTAGTAAATACCTCACAAACATTTTTTTTAGGCTTTTATGTGTCCTATAAAACGCTGTTGGGAACGAGGTGTTTAATGAGATTTCATAGTGTGGGAAAATCAAATGTCATCACGCTAAAACTGTCAAAAACTGTGGTGTCATTTTATATGAAATCAGCTTTTTACTTCTGCCAATTTCACTCATGCTAACAATCATAATTATTAATTTGGGAATATTCTCTTGCTGGAATAAACGTGTAAGTATTATGAACTTTTATTCAATGCAATTATCCACAATCTATTCGATATCTTGATGTTTTTGTCGAGAGAGCTGGAGTTGGCTCACAAAAAATGGTTCACAAAATTTGTCGAGATTTGTTCTTCTTTATATGCCATCTTTATATCGCTTGTTTGGTTCCTTAACCCTTAGATGCATAAGTGGGTCTTTCTTTGACCCGGTGAGGTGGTTTTCTTGAAGTATCTTTGTAATTAAAAATGTTTTGTATCATTTCATATTCCAGCTATTCCTCAAAAAACATGTTTTGGATATCATGCCATTCACATTTTAAATTTACATTTTAAGAAATTGTAGTTTTTGTATTTCTACCCCAAGCTTCCACAAAGTGGGTCAAAAATGACCCGCATGCATTTCCTATGGGATCCTCTGGGAACCTTTGATTATTATCACCTGTTGCTGTTAGGAATACATTCACTGTGGACCACACAGACTACATCACAAGTGACAGCTCTCAAGAAGATTATTGTACACAGCAAGATCTGATACATGTCAGTATAATAATAATAATAATAATACATTATATTTGTATAGGGCTTTTCAAGGACTCAAAATCGCTTTACAATATAAGGGAAGGTTAGGGTGGGGGGTATAGGACTATCAAACTTGATCAACCGGCATGGATTGATGGGGGGGGCTATAAGTAGACAAGAGGAGAAGAGATGAGTTTTGAAAAGGGACTGGAATACTGTGAGGGTCTCAGAATTGCGGAGATCTTTGCATCAACATGTTCAAAACGTTGTTTTTCAAAATGTAAAAAAAATGTCTAAAATTATAAATTGTGAAAAATTAAATATAAAATATTTCTAGTGTGAACCAAAATATAATACTAAATATTATACAAGTGATTTTTCTTAACCAAAATGACATAAAAACATTCTAATACGGGTCCTTTTTGACCCACTTATGGAAGAGTGTAGGGTCCAGTCATTCGTGCATCTAAGGGTTAATCAAACTGCCTTAATGAGTCATTGTTAACCAGAATTGACATATTGATGAAATCAGATGCACACGATTGTGTTGTTAACAGATGTTTTTCTTTAATTGCATGTTTTTGGTTAGAAAAACACAGAAGTTCTGAAAGCAGCTCTATGTAGAAACTACAAATGTACAATATCAGCAGTCTGCATGGAATCCAGAGATGGTAAAGAAACAGACAGGACATTTAAATCTGCATGGCTGCAACTCAAGGTGGGAAAACAGGTTTTACTCAGTCTTTACTTGGTAACAAAGGGAATTCCTTTTTCGAATCCTTACCAACCGGATAATCACAGCTTGGTCCAAGAACAACTCGTCCTAAGCATCACAACTGAACCAAAACAACAACTTGCAAATGGGTTCGTCATGTAAACACTACAGAAACTTTAACCGTTAAAGAAAACAACATTTGATAAACTATGAATGAAAAATGTTAGCTTTACAAAATGTGTAGAAAATCTCCGCAGCCCTTCAGATGTGAGCAGTCCGACCGTAGCGACATTTAACATGTGAACAAGACAAACAGTAGAAATGTACTTGAGTCCTCTACAGCTCCATCAGAGCTTTGATGTCATCAATGCGAGACGTTTTCTTGTCAGTGTTCGTGGAGCCAAACGCCTTGTCCACCAGCTCCTGCTTCTGCTTCTGGATCTTCACCATGGTCTCCTCCACTGAGTCCTTCACAAGGAACTGCAGCAACAAACAGAGGAATAATAACATATATATAATGAATACATTTAAGTCTTAATGGTATAATTAAATGGCGTATACTGGAGCTGCTTAGGAACATGTGAGATACACTAAGCTCTGCAGCAAAACACTAAAACAAAAGTACTAAATAAACAGTCTAGAAATAGATAGATAGATATAGGTAGATATTGATAGATAGACGGATAGATAGATGGATGGATAGATAGATAGATAGATAGATGGATAGATACAGATGGATGATAGATGATGGATAGACGGATAGATCGCTAGCTAGTACTGGATACGTATACGATAGATATGATGGTCAGATGGAATGGGGGATAGCTAGGATAGGATGAATGGATCGATAGATGGCATAGGATAGATAGCATGGATAGGATCATGATAGGACGTATAGACTGGATAGAGATAGATGGATGGATAGATAGATAGATAGATAGATGGATAGATAGATGGATAGATAGATAGATGGATAGACGGATAGACGTATAGACGGATAGACGTATAGACGGATAGATAGATGGATGGATGGATAGATAGATGGATAGATGGATAGATAGATGGATAGATAGATAGATGGATAGACGGATAGACGTATAGACGGATAGATAGATAGATGGATAGATAGATGGATGGATGGATGGATAGATAGATGGATAGATAGATAGACGTATAGACAGATAGATAGATGGATGGATAGATAGATGGATAGACGTATAGACGGATAGATAGATGGATGGATAGATGGATGGATGGATGGATAGATAGACGGATAGATAGACGGATAGATAGATAGACGTATAGACAGATAGATAGATGGATAGATAGACAGACGGATAGACGTATAGACGGATAGATAGATAGATGGATAGATAGATGGATAGATAGATAGATGGATAGATAGATAGATGGATAGATAGATAGACGTATAGACAGATAGATAGATGGATGGATAGATGGATAGATGGATAGACGTATAGACGGATAGATAGATAGATGGATAGATGGATAGATAGATAGACGTATAGACGGATAGATAGACGGATAGATAGATTGATGGATAGATGGATGGATGGATGGATAGATGGATAGATAGATAGATGGATAAATAGATAGATAGATAGACGGATAGACGTATAGACGGATAGATAGATAGATGGATGGATAGATGGATAGATAGACGTATAGACGGATAGATAGATAGACGGGTAGACGTATAGACGGATAGATAGATGGATGGATAGATGGATAGATAGTGTAAAGGAATATTTTAGTCTGATGCGTAGCTGTACTGAGAAACTTCACATGAGTGACTACTCTTTCTCTGTGTAGGGGGAAGGGTTTACTACCCGCTCAGACAGAGTTTCTTTGTCTGTTCATCTGTAATCGATTGGGGTAAAGGCCCGCGTTTCTGGGCTCCGCCCCTGCTCAGAGACCAGGTTCGAGCGCTTCCGTCTTTGTGTGGGCAGTGTTAATTTTGGCAGCTTGCATTGAACAGTGCGAGTTGCTTTGTTAATCCTCCGGCCGTTTGTCTTTCAATAAATATCAGTGTATTGACAGGCGAATCCAGTTTCACTCATTTGATGATTGGCTCAACATTGCTGCAAAGAAGTTTTTACTTCACAGATAGACGGATATACGGATAGACGTATAGATAGATGGATGGATAGATGGATAGATGGATGGATGGATAGATGGATAGATAGATAGACGGATAGATAGACGGATATACGTATAGACGGATAGATAGATGGACGGATAGATAGATGGATAGACGTATAGATAGATGGATGGATAGATGGATGGATAGATAGACGGATAGATAGACGGATATACGTATAGACGGATAGATAGATGGACGGATAGATAGATGGATAGACGGATAGATAGATGGATAGATAGATGGATAGACGGATAGATAGACGGATAGACGTATAGACAGATAGATGGATAGATAGATGGATAGATAGATGATTAGATGGATAGATAGATGGATGGATCGACGGATAGATAGATGGATAGATAGATACTTTATTGATCCCAATTTGGGAAATGTTTGCGTTGCAGCAGCATAAAAAACAAGGCAATGTACATAAGAGAAATTAAGACACAAGAAATAAACAGTCCAAAATATTTCAGAAATAGAAATAAAATAGCATTACAAATTAAAAAAGTTAAAGAATATAAAATAATATATATATATATATATATATATATATATATATACATACACACACACACATTGGGGTGGTCCTTAGCGCCATGTACATTTTATTCATTTATGTTAAGCTCCAACCACCGGAATTTGTTATGATAGTCAAGAAAACTCTCCTGGTGAATTGTATTCAAATTCCAACAACATTTACCCCTCCCTCATCAACCTTGAAGTTCAGCCTCAGTAGGGTGGTCCTTAATCGACCTGGGCTGCCACACCTGCAGCTGAGGCTAAACTTCAAGGTCGATGAGGGAGGGGTAAATGTTGTCAGATTGAGGAAAAAGTTCACCAGGAGAGTTTTCTTGACTAATAGAATTCATTCTGGGGGTTGGAGCTTAGACTTTCCCACTTTCAATTTTAAGGACCACCCTAATATACATGGGGAAACACACATTTCAAGTAACTAGTTTTGAGTAAATAGTAACTCGTTTTCAGACCTTGGTGACGACCACTTTCCTGGTCTGCCCCAGGCGGTGGCAGCGGTCGATGCACTGCTCCTCGGTCGCAGGGTTCCACGCCTTAAACACAAACAATCGTAAGTAAACATGCAGTTTTTAACTCGTAACATTTCCTCTGCAGGGTTTCTTCATTTATTTAGAAAATAATCTCTCAAACAGAAGTTACTG